ACATTCAGTGCCACGCATCATCACAGGGACATTATCGACCTCTCTCTCCAACAACACCATTTCACGGTTACTCAGAGCTCCACTGCTTCCCAGTTACATCCTCCAGCTAATTTGATTGGCTAACACAAAACTTTTTCTTTTCCTTTCAGACGTCAAGGAACACAAGATGCAACAACTCAGAGATTCACAGGCCCAAATACACGTGTCAGGTAAAGAAGCAATTTACCTGTACTGTGCTCAATCTTGTCTACTGCATTCGCTGCACACAATATGCTGTCCAGTGCAGACTGGGTGACCGCTTCACAGAACACCTATGTTCTACCTGCAAAAAAATGACCCTGAGCTTCCCATTGCCTGCCACTTCAACACACACTGTTTCCTGGCCAACATCTCTGTCTCAGGATCTGTAGCACTCCAGCAAAGCTCAGCGCAAGTTGGAAGAACAGCACCTGATTTTCCACTTGGGAACTCTACAGCCTTCTCGGCTCAATATCGAGTTCAACAATTATATGGTTTGAGGCATCTTTTCCCTATCCTTACCCCAAACCCCTCACAACAGGCCTTGTTATCACATAGTCTGTTATTACACACTACCCACTGTTTGCCACCAGTAGTCCCCATTATCAGCCATTCATTTTCCTAAGCTGACCGTTATCCACTCCTTTGTCTGTCCAATTGTTCTTGTCTCTCTTTAAGTCTGTCTCCACCTATTGTTTACTCCTTACTCTCTCCCCCCACCCTATCTTACGCTTAAAAACCAACCTCTTCCTAGCTACCATCAGTTCTGAAGGGTCATTAGACCAAAATGTTGACTCTGATTTCTCTCCACAGACGCTGCCAGACCTGCTGAGATTTTCCAGTAATTTCTGTTTTAATTTCAGGATAGAATTAGTAGCTACATGGAAAGAGAGGGGTTGATTAGGAAGAGTCAGCATGGATTTGTAAAGGGGAAAACCACATTCAACTAACTTGCTGGGATTTCTTGAAGAGGTAACAGAAAGACGCAAAGAGGGTAATGCTGTTGATGAGTTTGCACAGATGTACAGAAAATGTTTGATACAGTGATACACAACAGACTCATGAGGAAAGTTACAGGTCACGGAATAAAAGAGTCAATAGCAACATGGATACAAAATTGGCCGAATGATCAGAAACAGAGTGTAATAGTTTTCAGAGATAGTAGGAACTGCAGATGCTGGAGAATCTGAGATAACAAGGTGTAGAGCTGGATGAACACAACAGGCCAAGCAGCATCATAGGAGCAGGAAGGCTTCATCAGATGAAGGGTCTAGGCCCGAAACGTCAGCCTTCCTGCTCCTATGATGCTGCTTGGCCTGTTGTAAGGCTTCATCAGATGAAGGGTCTAGGCCCGAAACGTCAGCCTTCCTGCTCCTATGATGCTGCTTGGCCTGCTGTGTTCATCCAGCTCTACACCTTGTAATAGTTTTCAGGCTGGAGGAAGATTTGTAGTGGGGTTCTCCAGGGTTTGATAGTGGGGCCCTTACTTTTCCTGATATATATTAGTGATATGGACCTGTGTGTGCAATTTCAAAGTTTACAGATGACATAAAACTTGGAAGAATTGTACACTGGTAGGATACTGTGGAATTCGAAAAGGACATTGATAAGTTGATGGAATGGACAGATGGGTGGCAGATGATTTTCAATGCAGAAGAGTGCGAGGTGATGCATTTTGATGAGAACATTAAAGCGAATATAAAGTAGGGGTTACAATTCTAAAGGGAATGCAGGAGCAGTGAGACCTGGGTATATATGTCCAGAGATCATCAATTGTGGCAGGACAAGTAGAGTGAACAGTAAGTAAAGCATACAGTATCCTAAGCCTTGTTAACAGGGGCATAGAGTACAAATGCAAGAAGGGGAGGTTGAACTTCTACAAGATGATTGTTGAGTCTCAGCTGGAGTATTATGTACAGATCTGGGTGCCACATTATATTTGAACATGTGGGACAGAGTGCAAAAGTGGTTTACAAGAATGGTTTCACGGATAAGGAACTTCATTTATAAGGATAGATTGAAAAAGTTGAGTCTGTCTCCCTTGGAGGGGGGAAGAGGCTAAGAGGAGATATTATATAAGTACTCAATATTTTGAGAGGTCTGGATAGGGCAGATAGGGAGAAACTGTTCCTGGTGGAAGAAGAACAACAGGAAACAGATTTAACGTGATCTGCAAAAGAAGCAAGGGTGAAGTAAGGAAAAACTGTTCCACTCAGCAAGTAGTTTGGGTATTGAATGCATTGCCTGGAAATGTGGTGGAGGTGGGTTAAATTGTGACATTCAAGACAGCATTGGATAATAGTTTGGAGGAAAGTAATGTGCAAGGGGAAAGAGGAAAAAGCAGGAGATTGGTACTAGGTAATGATGCTGATTTAATGAGCCGGTGCAGAAATGATGGACAAAATGGCTTAATTCTGTGTGGTAAAACTTTTGTGAAACACAAAAAATAAACTTCACAAAGGAACAATCAATTTATACAGCACAAGAACAGGGTATTAATTGGTTGGACTATGGGTGGCATAGAGATGCAGCAGGAACTATGAACTGTCTCAGCTAATTTCAAGACAGATGGGTTGACTCTGATCGATCAGGGCATTCCAATGCAGATGCAGCAAGGATTGGTTATCTCCATAGCCCTATTCTCACTGGAAAATGGTGTAACGTGTGGACATGTTCATTTTATCTACAAAGAACAGGATGTGTGAATAAATATAATCTTCAGCTGGTTTCTTGTTTCGCAGACGTTTCGTTACCATGCTTAGTAACATCCTCAGTGCAGCCTCCAATGAAGCGTTGGTGTGTTTTCCCACATGGTTTTTAAACTCTGGGGTCTGTTGAGATGGATTGCCTCACTTCCGGTTTTCCTTCGTAGTGGAATGTATATGGGGTCGAGTTCTATGTGTTTATCAATAGCATGCTTCGTGGAGTGCCATGCTTCTAGGAATTCTTGTGCCTGTCTCTGCCTAGCCTGCCCCAGGACCTTGGTGTTGTCCCAGTTGAAGTCGTGGTTCTCCTTGTCCATGTGGATTGAGATGAGCGAGTATTGGTCGTGTCTTTTTGTAGCCAGTTGGTGTTCATGTACTCTTGTTGTTAGTTTCCTTCCTGTTTGTCCGATGTAGTGTTTCTCGCAGTCTCTGCAGGGGATCTTGTAGATGACATTGGTCCTGTCCATCGTGGGGAGTGGGTCTTTAGTTCGGGTGAGCAGTTGTCACAGGGTTGACGTGGGCTTGTGTGCCACTCTGATGCCCAGCGGTAGTAGGAGTCTTGCGGTGAGTTCTGACGTGTTCCCGATGTAGGGTCGTGTGATGAGTGTGTTGTGGCATGTAGTATCTTTCTGATGTTTGTGTAGGCATCTTCTGACCCAGTTCTTTGGATATCCATTATCCTTGAAAACGTGGAAGAGGTATTCTTCTTCCTCTTCGTGTAGTTCTGTGTTGCTGCCCTTTTAAATAGTGTGTGCACGCAGCTTCATTTGTGTGTGTTGGGATGGTCACTGTTGAAGTTCAGTACCTGGTCAGTGTGTGTGGCTTTTCGGTGTACTTTTGTTTGGAGTTCTCCATTTGTCTTGCGCTCTACCATGACGCCCAGGAATGGGAGCAGTTTGTTCTTCTCCTCCTCTCTGGTGAATTTTATTCCGGTGAGGGTGCTGTTTATAAGTTTGTGCAGACCAAATTAGAGGAGACACACAAACGTATAAACAACCAACCCTACATCAAGAACATGTCAGAACTCACCACAAGACTCCTAAGACCGCTGGGCATCAGTGGCACACGAGCCCACATCAACCCTACAACAACTGCTCACCCGAACTAAAGACCCACTCCCCGCCATGGATAGGACCAATGTCATCGACAAGATCCCCTGCAGAGACTGCGAGAAACACTACATCAGACAAACAGGAAGGCAACTAACAACAAGAGTACATGAACACCAACTGGCTACAAAAAGACACGACCTATACTCACTCATCTCAATCCACATGGACAAGGAGAACCACCACTTCAACTGGGACAACACCAAGGTCCTGGGACAGGCTAGGCAGAGACAGGCACAAGGATTCCGAGAAGCATGGCGCTCCAAGAAGCATGCTATTAATAAACACATAGAACTCGACCCCATATACATTCCACTATGAAGGAAAACCGGAAGTGAGGCAATCCATCTCAACAGACCGCAGAGTTTAAAAACCAGGCGGGAAAACACACCGACACTTCATTGGAGGCTGCACTGAGGATGTTACCAAGCATGGTAACAAAACGTCTGCGAAACAAGGAAACCAGCTCGGCGAGCCAACCAACCTCAACAACCTCAACACCCACAACCCGAGCTACAAATCTACTCCAAAACCTTAAATATAATCTTCAGCATATGCAAATGAATCTGACTGATAATGTGAAATTGGTTTAGGTATTATTCTTAGTGAAGTCAGGACTAATTAGGAACTGTTTTCCAATTGCAGGTTTGAATTTAATCAGTTAACTAAGACCATTATCATATCCTACTACGTCACCATGCACCCTCTTCTCATGCCATGCAAGTTACTCTTTTGTTTCTCAAATTTTTTCTTGTATTTCAGTTACGATTAATACAATTCAAAATCTTTTAATTCTATATCTATCTTATGAATATTAATTGAAGCCACAATTTCTGACAAAAATTGGAAAAATGTGAGATTGCCCATAAGTAAAACCATAAAACTTTCCAAGTACCAACAGTAAGTGCGTCAACGACTACATAACAGAGCAACGCTCTCCAACAATAGAATGAATGCTAGGTAAAATACTAGTTTTCCTAATTTGCAAGAAACAGTGAAGCTGAAGTATGGCAAATTACAATTTTCTTGAAAACCAACAATTTCAATGTTTTGGCAATGAGAAAACTCAAACTATATTCAATTCCCTTTTTTATGCATACTGCAGTAAGAAAAATAGAAAAAAAACATGAAAAATCATATTTTTTTTTTACATATATAGACTACTTACTTGTAATAACAGATATCTGTCCCAGTTCGAATCCATTGTGGCCTTCCCAGCATGGCTTCTTGGACAGAATACATTATGGGATGCATACCTTCAAAAAGAAAATAAGTGTTTAAGATTCTCACGTTCATGTAAAAAGATTAAAAAGATATAAAGATTATTAATAAATTGCATATCCATCAGGTACATTTCACAATTGCAACAGTGTAAATTCATTCATCATGTTATCAAAGCCTCGATTTTACTGAGGATAAAAATTCAAGGAAAGCAGATTGCAGTATACTAACAAATAAAACACAGTTTTTAAAAAAGCTAGCGCACTTATATCACACGCAGCATACATGATGGCATTTGCCACTGTGCTTAGTTATAATGAAAGTGGGTGTAGACAACTCCCATGGGTGTGGTTTGGGGGGCAAGAAGGATTTAAGATTAACTGAGGGACTGACCACGCAGATTCAATGACAGTTAAGATCAAATTATTTGGCTGATTTACATTATTACATTTGTGACATTGCGACGGAGTAGGACAGGACTATTTCTAAGTATTATTTGGCAGTATTGGAAGACTTAAATCTGCACACTTCTTAGTGTCAGTGACACTAAGTTGATTTGGTTATGATGACAGCTCATAGTGTGTCTGAATTCTATCTTACCTAAAGCTGCTGGTTCTGGGGAGGCAATGGCTTAGTGGTATTATCACTGGTCTGTTAATCCAGAGACCCAGATAACGTTCTGGGGACCCAGGTTCTAACCCTGCCATGGCAGATGGTGGAATTTGAATTCAATAAATATCTGGAATTAACAATCTAACGATGGTGAGAGGGGAAAAGTTTAAGGGAGATATGCGTGGAAAGTTCTTTACGCAGAGGGTGGTGGGTGCGTGGAACACGTTGCCAGCGGAGGTGGTAGAGGCGGGCACAATAGCGCCATTTAAGATGTATCTAGACAGATACATGAATGGGCAGGGAGCAGAGGGATACAGATCCTCAGAAAATAGGTGACAGGTTTAGATAGAGGATCTGGATTGGCGCAGGCTTGGAGGGCCGAAGGGCCTGTTCCTGTGCTGTAATTTTCTTTGTTCTTTGTTCTTTATGACCGTGAATCCATTGCCGATTGTCATAAAAACCCATCTGGTTCACTAATGTCCTTTAGGGAAGGAAACTGCCATCCTTACCTGGTCTGGCCTACATGTGACTCTAGACCCACAGCAATGTGGTGGACTCTTAACTGCCCTCTGGGCAATTAGGGATGGGCAATAAATGCCGCCTAGCCAGCAACGCCCTCATCCCGTGAATGAATAAAGAAAAAAAAAATTAAAGACTATGGGCTGCCTTTTATGGGTGTGCGCCTCAAGTGGGCTAAGTTGGTTAAAAAATGGACTTTCATCCCTCAGTTGGTGGAAGTCCCATCCTTGGGATCTGCCTGTTAATCTATCTGGCTAGTAACTGCATCAGTTTTGGCAGCGCCAACATTCAATATGCAAGTTAGCACATGGGTGGGCAGGAAGGTGGAAACTATTGTAGGTGAGCAAGCCCTGCTGAAAACACATTCAGTGGGTGCTGCACAAAATCCTGCCCTCTCAGTCAATGCTGGTGAATAAGTTATGTTGTGAAGCTCAGGCTGTAGAGTACAGCCTTGTGTAGAACATGTAGATGGGAAAATGGGGAATCCCATCTTATGATGGCTGATTTCCTTCATATTCTTCAGTAGATTTAAATGATCCAATGTATGTTAGTAATTTCAGATTGCTGTGCAAAGAAAACTGGAACTTCTCCATCTTGGTAAACCTGACAGGTTTCCAGTATTTTGATGTTGTTGAGGTTCATGATACAGCATTAGCTCCAATATTTAAATGTATTTGAAACTTTAAAGAACTGAAAAAGTCAAATGATCATATTCTCCCAAATTTTGATTCAAAGCGATTACTTACAAGATCTTTATTAAGAAATAAAATTACTCAGACAAAAAGTGCAAATAGCTTTAACAGAAAGTGGTAGCACTTGTACAGCATTTGGCACCACCACCTATTTAAAGGCAAATAAAATCCTAAGCGTGATCAACTTACAACTGAAAGTGATATAGCCTTCTATAAACCAGGAGAAATTGTTTCAGATCCCCTTAAAACTAGTACAGATATTTCTGGGTAGCAGTTACTAACAGCACATCTAGACAATTTAAAAAGGGCAAATTGTGATCTGAATTTACAAATTCACTTCAATTTTAAGAAATTATAGATATTACTTCAGATCTTTACGTAACATTTAAAACTAATTTGTGAAAGCAAGAGAATTGAATTTTTACTGCTTTTCTCAAGATCAGAAGGAATATTACTTTACAGTCATCCTGCATACATTCAACAAATCACGATAAATTATATTGTGAGCTTCAGCTCTTGGACAAGCAGAATTTGAGTTTTCTATCAGTAATTCACAGCATTATTTTAAGTGTAGAGACAGCAAGAACTGCAGAGGTCAGAAACAACACAGTGTGGATTTGGAGGAATACAGCAGGCCAGGCAGCATCAGAGGAGCAGGGAAGTTGACATTTTGGGTCGGGATCCTTCTTCAGAAATGGGAATGGGGAAGGGTGCTGGGAAATAAATAGAAAGAGGAGGGGTGGGGCAGGCGAAGATAGATGGGATGGTGATAGGTGAGTGCATGTAGGGAGTGATGGAGTGATGTGGATTGGCCAGTGAGATGGGTGGGATGGATAGGTGGGAAAGAAGACGGACAGGTTGTGTCAGGTCAAGGAGGCAGGGTTGAGAGGGAAGGGTGGACGTGGGATGAGGGTGGATGTGGGATGAGGCCGGGCGTGGGGAGATTTTAGAACTGGTGAATTCCATGTTTAGGTCATCATCCCAGCCTCATTGTTTAAAGAAAACTTCAAACCACTTAAACCAGAGGAAAAGAAATATTGTTAACTTAGACTTTGACCTTTGGTGGAGAAAAGTGATATTTTAAGGGAGTTAAGCAATTGTCAGGATTCTTCCCCATCCTACTTTTGTAGACAAATTGCAGTGCAGAGGCAAAGAAAGCTGCTGCTGCCTCCTTTAACTATGGAAAGGCGTAATAAACTATTTTAACTTGTTTTGTTTATTATAATGTTATCGAGTTAGCACATACATCATCAGCTACAAAGAATCACATGACAATCATCCAAATGCTGAATATCGCAATATAGCATTACAGACATTTAGTAAGAATGCTGATGAATCAGTTTGACCAGAGATTAGACAAACAAGTTACCAATGTAAAACCACATAATAGTATTATAGAACATAGAACAGTACAGCACAGTACAGGCCCTTCAGCCCACGATGTTGTGCCGAACTTTTACCCGAAACCTAAGGTCTATCTAACCTCCACCGCTACCTTATACTATCATCCATATGCCTATCTAATAGCCGCTTAAATGCCCCTAATGAGGCCGACTCCATTACCCTCTCCAGCAATGCATTCCACGCCCCTACCACTCTCTGAGTAAAGAACCTACCTCTGACGTCTCCCCTATATCTACCTCCTTTCACTTTAAAACTATGTCCCCTCGTAAAAGTTACCTCTACCCTAGGAAAAAGTCTCTGGCTGTCCACTCTATCTATACCTCTGATCATCTTGTACACCTCTATCAAGTCACCTCTCATCCTTCATCGTTCTAAAGTGAAAAGCCCTAGCTCTCTCAATCTTTCCTTGTAAGACCTTCCCTCCATTCCAGGCAACATCCTGGTAAATCTCCTCTGCACCTTTTCCAACGCTTCCACATCTTTCCTGTAATGAGGTGACCAGAACTGGACACCACACTCCAGATGTGGCCAAACCAGGCTTTTGTATAGCTGCAGCATAACTTCACAGCTCTTGAACTCAATCCATCTATTAATGAAAGCTAACACACTATACGCCTTCTTAACAACTCTATCCACCTGGGTGGCAGCTTTCAGGGAACTGTGAATATGAATCCCAAGATCCCTCTGCTCCTCCACACTGCCAAGAATCTTTCCGTTAACCCTGTATTCTGCTTTCAAGTTTGTCCTTCCAAAATGAATCATCTCACACTTTTGAGGGTTAAACTCCATCTGCCACTTCTCAGCCCAGCTCTGCATTCTATCAATGTCCCTTTGTAACCTAGAACAGCCCTCCGCACTGTCCACAACACGTCCGCGAACTTGCTAATCCACCCTTCCACTCCTTCATCCAAATCATTTACAATACATTTATTTTCATTCATTAGAATATATAGCTGTCTATTCTAAGGTTGTTTCACCCCTTCCCTGTAGTTCAATTTGGATCGATGTACCACAATGAAATGGGGTATTTCATATCACAGCAGTGGTTTTAAGTAACATGTTGAAGTATATGTTACTGAATTGACATATCTGCCTCCATGGCCTTCGGGGATTTGATTAAAATTAAATAGTTTAAAATTTGAAAACAATTCACCTCTTGGTAATCCAACTGGTAAAATATTGATTTTTGTTGAATGAATGATTAACAGCAATACTTATACAATAAATACTTTCAATTAACCTGCTCAGGTTCATCTCATTTTAAGTTTTATTTTAACAAGGGAATAATTTAATCTTTTCAACAAACTCACTGCATGGGGAAATCTTGTACTTGAATTCCATGTGTAGTTACATTTTGGGTACTCATGTAAAGTTTAGTTCAATTCACTCAGGTCAATGTCAAAGCCATATATACAAAACAAAAAGTCTACAGATGCTGGAAATTTGGAACAAAAAGAAACTTAGCAAGTCTGGCAGTCTCTGTGGAGAGAACAGATGAGTTAATGTTTCAAACATAGCTCTTGTCATAAATAAAAAAAAATTGGCAGCATATTAAAGAAAGCACAAAAGGGAAGATGGCAAGGTGTGACAAAGATGCATAAAAGGTAGTAGGATGGTCAGTAAAAGGCGCAAACAGGAAATAGGTAAATCAAAGTTATAGCACAGCCATAGACTGGATAACATTGTACCTTTGTTTGCTATTTGGAAGATCAATTTAATTAGATGCACTTTTGCTCTTTCCAAATAGAATTGCAATTTTTTCCATTTCAAGTATGCATCTAATTCCCTTTCAAACTATTATTATCAAA